AAGCTGTTGGAAACTTATGACTCAAATGTATTTTTGCCAAATCTCATAGTTCACCCTATATATAAGAAATATGAAAGACTATGGATTCTCGAACAAGAGAGAACATTTTTCAATACAGTTGTTGAATGAATCAATCCTATCATGCGAAACTTTTCATGTTAAAGGCAATCAAACGCATACTAACACTTACCCTACTTACTTTGAATACTATTATATATTCGAGATTATATTACTACATTTTCTATTCAGTCGATTTATCCATTTCTGAATGTGCTACCAACCTTGAGTTGATAATCAAAATGTCTAAACTAATATAATATACTTCCTCAACTATATTCTTGCCATTAGAAATAAGATAATTATAGTCCACAATATGTCTAATACTCACTTGCAAAATTGAAGTCTATTAAATAATCAAAGAAATGTCATCCATAGACAGTCCCCGTGAAGGACTAAATGGTGTTTCTGTTTATTTTCATAGGCCCAAAAATTTGTAAAACATGTATTATTTCCACTTATGTGAATGAACTTCTATTTTATTCTATTCTATTCTATTTTATATTGAAAAAGAAGTGAAGAATAAACTTTCTGATGGATATTAGGTAGATTGAAGGGTAGTAGCGAAATATGCCATGGAAAAATCAGACGAATCGACGAAACTGCTGGAAAGTTATGACTCAAAGGTATTTTTGCCAAATCTCATAGTTCACCCTATTTATGACAGTAGGTATTCCTCTCAGGGGCCACTATTCGTGGTAGGAGTATGCACAGGTCCTCATGACTCAGCCTGTATATCACTATACTTATCGTGAGAGTTCCTGCTGCCTACGTGAAATATCTTCTGGAAAACGCCCTAGCATCATTGCTCTACCTCACCAAAGATATAAGTTAATCACTTTATTTAATTAATGAATGGTAAATTTGTTGTAGTGTTCCTGATGATGAAATAATGATATTCAGAAAGCTTTGAAGAGTACCTACTCTTTTCACTTTGCTGCATTATTCCCTAATGAACCTATACCTTTTCAACTTCAATTTCGGAATCGGTAAGTTATATCTCGGAAAAAGTAATCTCGATTTCAGAAATGGTAAACTCAATTTCAGAATCGGTGAGATGAATTTCAGAAAAAGTCCATTCAATTTCATAAATGGTAAGTTGTATTTCAGAATTGGTAGGTTCAATTTCGAAAAAAAATCCTTATATTTGTTCGAAATGTTTCCCATTGTATGTGAGACTAACAACCATATTTACAATATTCAACTTTTCAAAAACAATTCAATAACATAATTATAATCTCAATTTAATCCACAGATGCCTTCCATCCGAATCGCTGGAAGATGGTGGCGTTGCACATGATTATAAGAATGCAAACACATTTGAGGTGTTATCATTTTCATTGAATGATCTGCACATTCTTCAAGACATCGCAGTCTGAATTCTATCTGGTTGAGCAATCTGTTCGGAACCCCAGCTATGACCCTTTGGTGATGCTCTTGCAAGAAGCTCTTCACTTCTGACTTGAAGGCACCCCATACAGGTATGTTCAATCTGATTCAACATAGGGCTCTCAAACACCGTTCCATCCACTGTAAACAATCTTCTCTTTTGCAATTAAAAACATTTCAAACATATAAAAGGATTTCATCTTCTGAAATTGAACCTACCAATAATAATTCTGAAATACACCTTACCATTTCTGAAATTGAATGGACTTTCTCTGAAATTCATCTCACCGATTCTGAAATTGAGCTCATCATTTTTGAAATCGAACTAATCAATTCTGAAATCGAGATTACTTTTTCCGAAATATAACTCATCACCGATTCCGAAATTGAAGTTGAAAAGGTATAGTTTCACTCAGAACTAGTCAGCAACTGTCACTTTATAGATAATAAAAAGCAACCGGATAGCTTATATGATATTATCTGTCTTCTGGAACTGTTCCTTCTACTAAACTTTGGCTCGTCATTCTCAGTTGTTTTTGGCACTTTCTCATCAGAAAGTACGCACCCATCAAAATCACCACTTGCTGTTTGGGCGATAATGACCTCTTTTTTGGATTGACGTCCTCCCATTTTAATAAACTTTCAATTGTTCTCGTTCTCCATTCACTTGTAGTTGAAAATAAGTTATGGTGACTAATTCAACTCCAGCTATTGGTACTTATGAGATGGCACTGGCAGGATCGCCATGTAATGTAAGGATTAATAGGTTCAAGTCAAGCACCACCCATGTACCATAATATGTCTTTATTATATCCTAGTACTTCAAAGACTCCCCAATTGAATATCATATCGTTGGTTCCCCAACACCAATGTTATGATTACCAATATATAAATAAGTAAATGTAAACATGTAAATAAAAGTTATTATACAGTATGATCATGATCGTATACCTACTACAAACCGAACCACAAGCTCAAATTTTTAAACTCAAGACCTACATCATGTTGTCTTTTCAGGTTTGCCTTTAGAGCTTCTCCTTCTCTACAAAGAAAAAAATTGAGGTGTACATTCTGGGCGACACAGATATTCATCTTCAATGAAACAATTCGTCCGAACGATGTACTTTTATTCACTTTTTATTCATCTTATAATAGTGAGATGCTTATGGAAAAATAGGTAGGTACTCTTAATAATTAGGCTCAAAATAGACCTTTGGTACTCAATATCATTCAAAAATATCTTTTCAAATTTTTTGTATCGTTTTTTTCTTCTTCTGATAGTGCTGAGACATTGATGAGCTCTGCCCACCCTGTACAATATATTGTGACATTTGAATGAGAATATATAATCACAATTTTGTATTCATTTGACTTCCTAATCCTGTGAGAAAAAAATGAAATTTCACTTTCACGTCAACAAAAAATCAATAATAATATTTGAATAAAAATTGATTGCAGTGTGTTATCCATTCTCCTAAATGAATATCCACATTTAATCACGTTTACTCTTGAATGAAAGCAAAAAACGGGAAAATATTTCAAATAATGCGAGCGCTTCCCATTGGCCGACATAAGATAGAAAGAGATTGGTATTCGTAACCACTGCGGGTTGCCTGAACAATATTTTTGTCTCACTTGTCGTTCACAGAGGATCTCATCCAGGTGTTCACATTGAGTTCATTGCCCTCAAAGAGCTCTAGCGTCCTCTGGAAGCGTTTTAAAACTAGTGCTGATGGGACAATTTTTCCATATTTCCATCTGAAGAATTACCTCCCAGAGTATACGAACGTTAGATATTCTGGGACACCCTGTATATTGATACGAGATCCATCAAGAGATTCATCGATTACTTCATCGTTTGCCGCACCTGAAAGTTACTAAAGGTGGATTTATGCACACCACCTTTTCATCAATCTTTTGCTTTCATAGCCGCCATTGAGTTCATTTTTATTTAGGGACTATGATACTTCAGTGCACCACCTCTTTTCAATTTAAACTCCTTTTTTCTGCAACCGACACAAAAGTCGTCCATTTTGAAACCAAAATTACCTCTTAAATTGACGTTCCTATTACTGACACAAAAATAGGTATGTTACTAGGCAACATATTCAGTTCCTAGGAGCTGAAGTTGAACTTTATTTCCTAGGAGCTAAAGTTGGAATTTAGCTCCTAGGAACTAAATAGGATGTACTGGACGTCATCAAGAATAAACAACATTGTGACGGTTGGTTATTTGGGTTGAGACGCATTCCTGATTTGTTTCCGATTTCAGCAGATTTGGCATTTCATACCCATGCTGGAGATATAAATACACCTTATTAAAGTTGACTATTGGAATTATAAACATCTCAGTTAAGTATTTTTGTTTAGATCAGGGAAACCCTCAAGATTCAAATACTTGCTCGATCTATATTTCATTCGTTATCTCGGGATGGATCACTTGTTTTTGAATAATCACGGCAAGCAATAGTTTTTTGTCTCAAACAATGATATTGTTTAGCTTCATTTGATTTTCAAGTCAAACACAGTATAGTATGGAGAGGAATAAATAATCACTATTATCATTGTTGATATGCTCACTATAACCTAACATTTTCCACGTCTTGTTCCTATACCTGGCACTGGCGCGGTATTTGCCATTAGAGCACCTGGTCCATACACGAATGTCATGTCATGTATTTATATTGAAACTACAATTCGAACATCCTTGAAAACCTAACCTGCTGTAAATGCAGGTAGAATAATCTCACCACACGGATTATTTGTCAATATTTGTTGCATTGCATACATATGGCACGGCATTGGTGGTTACTTCACATGTTCATTTGAGTTGATTGTTTCATTTGCAGAAAAAATAGCATGTTTTATTCGGATCGAAAGTGACTGTTCGACTCTCAAATTTTGCTTTCGCTCGGCTTCGCTAAACGCTCCGTCTCGCAAATGCAAAATTCGCTCGTCAAACAAAGTGTCACTTTTGATCCTAATAAAACAATCTACTATTCTTGATCGAAACATAGTCCTCAGCGTACTTAGCCCGATGTTATAACATTGAGTGATCACATAAATACAATAAGAAACATTCAGTCATTTTGTTTTCGTATAAGTATAATTATAATTTGAGCATACGACTAAAATTTTCAGAATTTCTAACTAGATTTTGGCAAAAGAAGAGAAAGAAATTGTTTGTCTGACTTCTGACAGAATCGCGCTTGCGCAAGTCACAGTTCTATTTGTATTTGTCGTTAGGAGATGAAAGTTGGTCATCTTTCAGCAAATATGAAATGAAAGATAAAATACAATTTGGGTGCAAAAATGAATGTACAAGAATATCGAGTTTTATCTTATTATTGAAATCGGCTAGGATTCTGAAATAACAGATTAATGGAAAAGTGGTGTGCATGAATCGGCCTTAAATCACACTTATTCGAAAACTGAAATCATTTGAATCATCTCCATGCATGGGCATTCTGCATGGCAAAACATGAAGCCAACCAGTGTAGAACTAATTTGATGAGAAGTCATGAGAAGTGAACTTCCCTATTCCTTGCAAACCTCTAAATCTCCTGGTACAATAGGAACGTATAAGCAGCTTTGATCATCTGAAAAAATACGAATATCAAAACAAAGTGAGCAGTACAATCCATATTTCAGACTAACGTTTACAATCAGATCGTTGTCGATCACTCGAATGTTGCCCATGTAAAGTACAAGTGGTCTTTGCACTCTGGCCATCACAATCGAAAGACTTCTCACCACTCCAGAGCTTTGGTCGTACCAGTTACTCTTGAATATCCTCACGCTCAAATTTGTGCTCTGAAAATGCATTCCACTATCTCAGTTGATCGAAACTAGAGTCACTGGATGTATTTTTTTATCGCTTGGAGCGCACGAAAGGAAATCCCTATAATGTTCAAAGAACATCGTGCGTTCCTAGGGAGGATATTAGGGACAGGAGGTAGGTATTGGGATTTGTTTTGAACTTCTGGAGATTATATGTTGTTGGGAATACACCCAAGTAGCACACATATATTGGGACAATATTGGTGCAAAATCACGAAAATATCGGCAAAATATTGTGGAAGTGATATTGACGAGAAAAAAATGTAGACATTCGGCGATATAGGTACAATATCAGTTTCCAGATGTGGGTATTGAAACTCAGCATATTGGTTGAATATTCGTGGAGTTATTGGTCACAAAATGTTATATCAATATTTGCGAGAAGTTATTGGTGAAAATTTGGTAAAATCAGTGCAATATTATATGGAAATATCAGTGAATCATTGAAAATCGTCATGAAAGCTATGTTGTCTCGAGAATATCAGTGAATCATTGGAAATCGTCATGAAAGCTATGTTGTCTCGAGAATATTGGTAGAATGTTTTCATACCAATATTGCTGAAATATTCGTGGAGTTATATTGGTCACGAAATGTGATATCAATATTGCTGATGAATGAATAGTGAACATTCGACAATACTGGTGCAATATTGGTTGGAAATATCGGTACATTATCGAAAATTATTATGTGGCTTCAAAATAATATTGGAATATTTTCATACCAATATTTGCGAGTTATTCGCATCAGGAATAATCACAGAGGTCAGCCCAGCCGTAGTGCAATGGGGGAGCCTTGCCCTGGGGAAGCCGCCTTGTTGATCACGGTAAACCCCTACTCCAGGTTATAATGCTTTTCAATCGTCTACAGCCAATATTCATATTCTCTCGTCTGATCGGCAATGGGAGAACGTTACCAATCATTTATAGCGCCATCTATCGACATCGGTATGAGAGTGCGTGATATGTAATTAATATCGAAATTTCGATATCGATATGTATTTTCAAAACAATATGTGAACAATATTGCTCACATGATATAGTGAATCAGATATCAGCCCATATAAGATGATATTATTTTCTGAATATGGCTGGAGAACTATTCAACCGATATGCAATTGAACTCGAAAATACAGTATTGAATTGCCGTTATTGATATTCATTGATTGATTGATATAGTTGAAACGATATCAATCAATTTGAGTAGAGATGATGTTCTGAATATCGTCAAAACAATATTCAAAAATGATTCGACGAACTCGAATATACAATATTGCATAACCGGTTCAGAGAATCGACATGGGGAGAATGTTCAAATTGCGATATTGGTTATAATTGTTGGAAACAATATGTATACGATATTTTTCGCATGATATAGTTGAAATGATATCAATCAATAAAGGTGAATTCGATGTTCCGAATATTGTTGAAACAATATTCATCCAATTTGCCGTCGAACTCGATTACACAATATTGCATAACCGCTTCAGAATCGACATGGGGAGAATGTTTGAATTGCGATATTGGTTATAGTTGTTGAAAACAATATGCATACGATATCTTCCGCGTGAAATAGTTGAAATGATATCAATCAATGTGCCGTCGAACTCGAACATACAATATTTCATAACCGCTTCAGAATTGACATGGGGAAAATGTTCAAATTGCTATATTAGTTATAATTGTTGGAAACAATAAGTAAACGATATCTTCCGCATGATATAGATAAAATGATATTAATCAAGATAGGTGAATATGATGTTTCGAATATTGTTGAAACAATATTCAACCAATATGCCGTCGAACTTGAATATACAATATTGCACACCCGCTTCAGAATCGACATGAGGAGAATATTCAAATCGCGATATTGGTTATGAATGTAAGGAACAAAATGTATACGATATCTTCCGCATGATATAGATAGAATGATATCAATCAAGATAGGTGAATATGCAATATTGAACCAATATGCCGTCGAACTCAAATATACAATTTCGCACAAACGCTTCAGAATCGACATGGGGAGAAAGTTCAGATTGCGATATTGGTTATAATAATTGTTAGAAACAATATACAGGGTGATTCACATAAGAACCGACATAGAGCAGGGGCATGTAGGGGGTCCCAAAATATGGCAATTTAACGCAACTTACCTCTATACCAAGTTGCTTCCCTAAGGAGTTATAGGCTTTGAAAGTGAAGTTATAAATTTTAAAAAAATATCAATATCTCCGTTATTTTTGCATTTAAAGCAACCAAATTTGGTACACCTTGTAGATGTATTTAGGGCATTACTTGACAGTGACTAGAGTTCAATTGAAATTTGTAATGGGGGTATACCGGGTGGCGCACCATTAATATTCAACAGAATTTTGTTAACCCTTGATGGATTTTGAAAATCTTCGCTTCTTTGAGTGGGCAATTCAATTCTGAAACTTTTCTTACTCAAGTAATTTTTCGAAAAACCTCATCATTTTCATCAAAAACTCGAATAACTGAAAACGCGCGCTCTAGGTGTGTTATTTAAAATCATCGAAAATTCAAAAGTTGGCTATGAGAATAAACGTACAACAAAAAAGTAGGTCATTACTTGTGATCAGTAGAAATTGGCTGACAAATTATCATTTAGATACGTAACAAAATACGTAAAGTAAGTACAGATACTGAAATGTGAAAAACTGGGATTGACAACTAACCAAAATAAACACAAAAAACTTGAACAACAACCAGAACAAACAATTGTTTATCGATTAATTACTTAATTGAACAACTTACTCGCTCCATTGTCAAGTTTGACGTTTATTCTCATAGTCAACTCTTGAATTTTCGATGATTTTAAATAACACACCTATAGAGCACGCGTTTTCAGTTATCAGAGTTTTTGATGAAAATGATGAGGTTTTTCGAGAAATTACTAGTCTAAGAAAAGTTTTAGAGTGAATTGCCCACAAAACAAAGGTTTTAGAATTGAATTGCCCACAAAACAATGCAAAGATTTTAAAAATCCATGAAGGGTTAACAAAATTCTGTTGAATATTAATGGTGCGCCACCCGGTATACCCTCTTTACAAATTTCAATTCAACTCTAATTACTGTCAAGTAACGCCCTGAATACATCCACAAAGTGTACCAAATTTGGTTGCTTTGAGTTCAAGAATAACGGAGATATTAGTTTTTTTCAAAATTTATAACTTCACTTTCAAAGCCTATAACTCCTTAGGGAAGCAACTTGGTATAGAGGTAAGTTGCGTTAAATTGCCATATTTTGGGATCCCCTACATCATCATCATCATCTCTATGTCGGTTCTTATGTGAATCACCCTGTATATACAACTCTGTTGTATCGACATCTGTAATATTATATGTATAACATTTATAGATATGTTTTTCAACACATTGTTAAGGAATTTTACAACCAATATTGCTCCAATATTGTAGCTGACAATCCATATTCAGCTCAGGTTGAACCAATATTCCACCAATATTATCATTCCAATATTGTATGTCCAATATACTCTCATATTGGACCGATATAATTTTCCACATATATGCCCAATATGAAATCAGGTTCCAGTTGATATGATGTGCTACCTGGGAAGTGTCCCCATCGACATTGAAAGTGACCTATTTTTTCGATTCTTCATTTTATATACTGGAAGGAAGATATTAAGGGTGAGAAGTTTTCTAATTGACACGGCATATTTCGGAAACTACTCGACAGAAAATGATATACTAGGATACCGTTGGAAATCAAATTGGACGTCCTTCAAAATGATGTGCCACTAGACCGTCCTTTTCATTTGAAATTCTGAGGGTAACATATCTACCCCTCCTAGGGGGTTGAAACTATTCATTTCAAGTGTCCCCCTTGAAAATTAAACTGACGTATCTTCTTTATTCTTCATATTACCTATTTACTAGAAGGGAGATATTGAGATATTGTATGCTAAGTCTCAGATATAAAAATTTCTGTGATGGAACATGCAACATTTTGAATGTAGCAGGTAGTAGTGTAGTGTAGTGATGAAACATGTGGTAAGTGGGTCAGTAATTCTATCTATGCTATTTCTCTGTGATGGAACATATAATACATACAGGGATGTCCTAAGTACGTTCCATTTTTGTCACGCGGTACGAGGACATGATTGAAACATCCAGAGGATGTCCCGCAGTGGTTGTCCGGTGGACAACCCGTCTGGTACATTCACAGGTTATTCGTGTCCTTTGAATATCTGACATCCATTCCCATCAAAGTTTGGATTCCATCAAATTTTATTTGAGATTTCAAGCAAATTTTTTTCAATAGCCTCAGAACTTCTTGAGAAGTGGCCATTCCGCAAAAAAAAATCGTTGTTGCATAATGCTTCTCATTTGAACACCCAACAATGATAAAAAATAAACCCAACTCCTAACAAAAACTTGTATTCATTTACGTTTTTGTGGTTTTGTCCTGTTTAGCTTCGGAAATATCTGAATGATTGGTGATGTGGCATTTTTGAACGATGTCAACGTTGACCGCACGAATACAATACTACTCGAAATATTCGTGAAATAAATTACCTCTGGTGTACGCACTCCAATCCTTTCCTTTTATACAATTTCTTGATTTTCGCCTACTTTGATAAACATTACATAGCGTGGGTGATTCTCTCTGAGTTTAGTCTGGTTCCGTACCAAAATTACAGGCATCAATGTGACAATTGTGACCAATGAAGATAGGGATTACATTTTGCGATTTAGCTGCATCAAGGTTGGTAGAACTGATGTTGATCATAAGTCCTGGGAATCACGCCATCTAACATTCGATATGTGAACCCCACGTCATCGTCTGATATTGAATTGTTTATATCAAGAACCAGTCTGACGAAACAAATAAAGACTGAGCGCACCATAGGTTTATTTCATCAATCTCGAAATAGTCCACCGTGCGAAACCACATTGAATATACTGGGTGAACAACTATAAGAACGGCT